TCTCTATTGAGAATTCTCTATTTAGTTCTGTACCCCCACTTTTTAATTGCATACTTTGGTGTTTTGGAGACTTTTTCTTGAGTTCTTTGTAAATTTTGGAGATCAGCCCTCTGTCAAATGTGGGGTTAGTGAATATCTTTTCCCATTCTGTGGGCTGCCTTTTTGTCTTGTTGACTGTGTCCTGTGCCTTACAAAAGCTTCTTAGATTTAGGAGGTCCCATTTGTTAATTGTCGATCTCAGCGTCTGTGCTACTGGTGTTATGTTGAGGAAGTGGTCTCCTGTGCCAATTCGTTGAAGAGTATCTCCCACTTTCACTTCTAAGAGTTTCAGTGTGGTTAGATTTATGTTGAGGTCTTTGATCCATTTGGACTTAAGTTTTGTGCAAGGCGATAGACATGGATCTATCTGCAGTCTTTTGCATGCCAATAACCAGTTATGCCAGCACCATTTGTTGAAGGTGATTTCCTTTTTCCATTGTACAATTTTAGCTTCTTTGTCAAAAATCAAGTGTTCATGGGTGTGTGGGTTAAAATCAGGGTTTTCAATTTGATTCCATTGGTCTACCTGTCTATTTTTGTGCCAATACCAAGCTGTTTTCAGGACTATATCTCTGTAATAGAACTTGAAGTCAGGGATGGTGATGCCTCCAGAAGTTCCTTTTTTGTACATTGCTGTGTTGGCTATCCTAGGCTTATTGTTTTTCCATATGAAGTTGAGTATTGTTCTTTCAAGATCTGTAAAGAACTGTGTTGGGATTTTGATGGGGATTGCACTGAATCTACAGGTTGCTTTAGGCAAGATTGCCATTTTTATTATGTTGATCCTACCAATCCAAGAGCATGGGAGATCTTTCCATTGATTTCTTTCTTTAGAGACTCAAAGTTCTTGATATACAGATCTTTCAATTCTTTAGTTAACATTATCCCCAGATATTTGATGATGTTTCTGGCTAATGTAAAAGGTGATGTTTCTCTGATTTCTTTCTCAGCCACTTTATCATCTGTATATAATAGGGCTACTGATTTTTTTGAGTTATCCTGCCACTTTGCTGAAGGCACTTATCAGCTCTAGGAGTTCACTTGCGGAGTTTTTCGGGTCACTTATGTAAGCTATCATATCATCTGCAAATAGTGAAAGCTTGACTTCTTTTCCTATTTGTATCCTCTTGATCTCCTTTTGTTGTCTTATTGCTGTAGCTAGAACTTCAAATACAATATTGAAGAGATATGGAGAGAGTGGACAGCCTTGTCTTGTTCCTGATTTTAGAGGAATTGCATTGAGTTTCTCTCCATTTAGTTTGATGTTAGCTGTTGGTTTAGTGTATATTGCTTTTATTATGTTCAGGAATGTTCCTGTTATCCCTGATCGCTCTAGGACCATTATCATGAAGGGGTGCTGGATTTTGTCAAAGGATTTTTCAGCATCTAATGAGATGATCATGTGTTTTTTCTTTTGTAGTTTGTTTATATGGTGGATTATGCTGATAGATTTTCTAATGTTGAACCATCCCTGCATTCCTGGGATGAATAGATTTTCTAATGTTGAACCATCCCTGCATTCCTAGGATGAAGCCTACTTGATCATGATGGATGATTTTTCTGATGCGTTCTTGAATCAAGCCTCTTTTAACGTACCTCATGCAATTAGCCACATATACACAAGCATTTGTCTGGACAGTGCACAGTCCTGCTTGGGGCAGAGACCAATAATTAACTTCTATTGTTTTTCTGTCAGTAGAGTTGTACAGAAGGTGGCAACATGTACAAACAATATTGCCCTACATGGATGCACCTCCAAGTATGATCTGCTGATTCTAAAGCTTAGGTAATATGCAAGCCTGTTTCTATATCATGGGGTTTCTCTCCACTAGGGGACAGGCTTTCTGGATTCCTCAGAATACTCAGAGCTTCCTGAACATTGCGTAAGGAAGCTCAATGAACTCTAAAGCATAGTGTTGGTTTTCCTTTGTTAATGTTTCCCCAGGTCTTTCTGCTACATGGAGGCTAAGGCAAGGATCTGATCATTTAGAACCTTCTAGGGACAAGCTGAAAAGTAGCTGCTTCATGAGCAGCTCAACTTCTTGCCCCCTTGACAACCCACCATCTTGATAGTTCAGTGTCTGAACCATGAACTGATTGATTGAAGAGGGAGACACCTTCTGCTTTAACTTATTTCCAGCAAAGTACTTATACCTTTAATCTTGGGAAATTTGCCCAGTACATTTCAAAACTTTCTACAAAACAAACACAGTAATTGAAGCAGATATGAATTTTAAAGAGGATATCACCCCCCACCACCACATTGTTCCTAATATAGCTTCCCTTTCCTTTCTGGTTTCTGTTCACAGTAGCCTAACCTCTTGGCTGTGTTGGTAATAAGTATGAATCCAAGATGTTCTTCTTGAAACTGCCTTTGTCTGGTTCTGGATGGGCATAATGCCACTCTTCTACAACAGGAAAACAAGAATTTCCTCCTCCTGGAGAAGGGGAAAGAGACAAGATCTCCTGAGAAATTGGGAGCACAGGGTGGGAAGGGGTGGGGGGTAAGTTAGGAGACAGAGAAGGAGAGAAGAGGAGGGGGGAGGAGGACATGAGGGAGCAGGAAGATTGAGTCAGAGGAAGAATAAAGGAGAGCAAGAAAAGAGATACCATAACAGAAGGAGCCATTATAGATTTAAAGAGAAATCTGGCACTAGGGAAATGTCCAGAGATCTACAAGGATGACCCCAACTAGAAATCTAAGCAATAGTGGAGGGACTATCTTAAATGCCCTTTCCCTATAATGAGATTGATAACCACATTATATGCCATCCTAGAGCCTTCATTCAGTAGCTGATGGAAGCAGAAACAGGCACCCATAGCTAAGCACTGAACAGAACTCTTGGAATCCAGTTGTAGAGAGGGAGGAGTGATAAACCAAGGAGTCAAGACCAGGCTGAGGAAACCCACAGAAGCAGCTGACCTGAGCAAGGAAGAGCTCATGGTCCCCAGACTGACAGCTGTAAAAACCAGTATAGGACTGGAACCAGGCCCTCTGAATGTGGATGTCAGTTAGGAGGCCTGGGCAATCTATGGGACCTCTGGTAGTGGATCAGTATTTATGCCTATTGTATGAATGGACTTTGTGAGCCCATTCCCCATAGAGGGATACACTCTTAGACACATGGGGAAGGGCCTGGACCCTGCCTCAAATGATGTAACAGACTTTGATGATCCCCCATGGAAGGCTTCACCCTCCCTGGGAAGCAGAAAGGGGATGGGATGGGGAATTGGTGGGGGGCATGGGAAGATAGGAGGGATAGGGAACTGGGATTGATATGTAAAACAAGATTTTTTTCTAATTTAAATTTTAAAAAATCTAGGATAAAAAAGAATTCCCTCTTATTCTAAGATGATGGAAGTTACATAACATTATTTTCCCTCAAATGTTTGCTAGCATCCCTTAGTGGAATATCCCCAGTTTTCTTTTTGCTTCAACTTTTAAAACTTTTTTTGTGTGTGACCTGTGTCTGTGTTGTTTGTGTATATGTTCATGTGGGAGGGTGTGTTCATGTGCACGGCGGGGGTCTATTTATGTGAGTACATGCACCTGAAGTTCAGAGGATGACTCTAGATGCCTTTTGGGATGACTCTTGACTTCATTTCCTGAAGCAGACTCTCTTCCTGAGCCTTGAGCTCATTGATTTAGTCAGACTAACTGACCAGTAGTCTGACTACTTCAGGGATCACATATCTCCAATCTCAAGCTTTGGCATCACCGCTAAGGACTACCTTACTCAGCTTTTACATAGGTGCTGGGGATTTGAACACAGTTCTTTATGCTTGCAGAGCAGGCGTTTTCCTGTCTAAACCTTTTGTTCAGCCTCATCCCTGGATTTTCCTTCAACTGCTAATTGCTTTGGAAATTTTCTAAGTTTTTACTGGGTCAGGTTTGACCTCTTTCAAGAAATTCACCAGTTTTATTCATCCTTGAGTTCTTTGACAGAATGTTTACATTCTCCCATCCTTTGAAAACCAACATTGCCTCTAATGATATTATGGAGTTGAAAATTATTTGTATTGGTCACATAATTTTCTATTTCAATATTCTCTTTAATGTTTCCTCCTACAGGTATTTGCTTATTTTCCTGTTTTTAATGTCTTAGATGGAAATGTAGATCATAAAATTTTTAAGCCCCTCCCTTTATTTCTCACTAAACAACGTTATATTTGCATACCACATGTTTTTAATTGATTTATTTCCACTATTATTTTGTCCTATACATAGTTTTTGCATTTATTTTTAAATTTTCTCTGACTGATATTAGAAGATTACCTAGAACTATAACATTCAGTTTACAAAGGTTGAGGTCTTAAATATCTTACTTAAATATCTTACCTCATTATGGTTAGATATACCATATTCTATAAGATTTGCATTTAAAGTCCTATTAGTATTTAACCTGTAGACCAGCATAGTCCTTTTTAGCAGTCATCCATGTATAACTGAAAACAACTTATTTCTGTAGTTATCATTAGGTCAGATTTATTGAGTTATATCAATGCTTGCATATTCTCAGTAGCAAAAATATGTCAAAGTCTCCACTTTCTGAGTGGATGTTAGAAGTGTTACAAGTCTGGTTGTCAGCCTCAGGTTTGTTTTTAAGTCACTGGATCAAGAAGGTCATTAGAATTTTCTGTGTTTGAGTTCAGTTTATTTATAGCTACTGGTTACTTCTTTGTTGATGACAGGAGGTGCCAAGTTATGGGAGTAAAACCTTTCCCCTATTTCTCTGTGTTGGTACCAGAGGTAATTATTTCAGGAAGGCATCTGTGTCATTACATGGTATATGCATGTAGGATTGCACAGCAGAACATATCATGCAGTCTGGACTCACTGTGGAACCGAGTCCTATTTTCAGTGTACTAACATTGACACACATGAACAATCAAAGCTTTCAAGGAAAAAAAATGATTTGCTGAAATTTCAGTATAATCTCTGCTGCTTCCTATTCTCACAGATCTATGGAAATGCAAGACCTAGCGAGTCCCCACGCCTTGGTTGGAGGCAGTGATACACCTGGGGGCTCCAAGCTGGATAAATCCAGTCTCAACAGCACTTCAGTCACGACAAATGGGACAGGAGGTAAGTGCCACCACAAAGATGCCTAGACTCTAAGGGTTTGCTTTAAGATTATATGTCATGGGTTGTTAATAAATAGCTATCCTACCATTGATACTATAATCAGAATTATATCCAAGGAATATCCACCTATTATTGTGTTGTACTCATCTTGAAAGTTGAATCCTTTAAATCTGTGAGCATTCATAAAGACTAGATAGTCCTGAGAAACTTTCAAAAGGTTACCTTCTTTGTATTTGTCCTTATAATTATTCCACGTAAGTTAAAAATTGGGGATAAAAGATATCACATATATGTGTGCATAAATTTGCATATTAAATATTTTAGTTTAAATTTTAAATAAAAATATTACTCTAACATTTTTCGTTAAAATGGTGTTTCTTGAAATTGATGTAAAATGCAATAAAATATTTATACCTTCTGAAAAAGAATAATACTATGTCTAGCACTTACATGAAAGAAAATTGGTAATTCCAGATAATTTTCTCATTTTATTAGGTCATAATTATGCTACAACCTATCGTAACAATAAGTGGTTATTTCAAATATTCTCTTTTATTAATTTTAAGAAATTCATTCAGCTTGTCAGAAAATATGATACAATTGTGTAAAATATATGTATTTAAAGATATTAAGCATATATACACACATACAATATGAAAATTTTATTGTAAGTTGTTCACTATTATGTTGAATTTTTGTAAATTCAGTCTAGGTACCAAAGTCAAATTTCTGCACATCTGTTTTACTTAGAAAACTACTCATATGGCCAGATATCAGCATTTGCCACATCATATTTTCTTTTAAAATTTAAATAAATCTGTGAGATTGATACACCCTTCCCAATTAATCTGAAGTCCACTGTTTTCTTTGTCAAGTCGTGTGCATTGCAACCTACCCTGCATTTAATAATGTGTTACACCAAACCCTTTATAGATTAACCTTCCCTTGTTTATTTGTCTCTAAACGTGCATCTATAATCTCAGCTAATTAATGGACATGGGACTGCAAGTGTTTAGGGAAATTTAGTCATAAGCACAGGAGCAAGAGAATTTGCCATTAAAGCCAAAGCTGAGCACAGATAGTAAGACTGAAAACTTCAAGCACTCTGAAGGAAGACTGGGAGCTCATGACTCATACATGTATTCCAGTGCACCAGTGCAGACCTGATACACTAAAACATTGAAGGCACACGGTGCAGTTAAGGGTCTTGCTAACAGGTCGGAAAGTGGTGCCAGCATTGAAGATTGCTCAAGTACACTCAGCAGACCTTCAGACAATGAACTCTTAATACTGTTCCTGTTCTCAGGGGACAACATGACTGTTTTAAACACAGCAGACTGGCTGCTGAGTTGCAGCACCCCCTCTTCCGCAACAAGTATGAGAGCCAATGGTACACTGCATGTGTTTGGGTGTGTGGATTTGACCTCTGGTTTGCTGTCCGCTACTGCCTCTATGTTTGCCCCTCTTTTCTACATTCTATATTTAAAAGTAAAAGTGAAAAGTAAATAAGCCTCGTGGCTGTTCATGGTTAGCAGTGGGCTGCAGTTTCCTTGTCATTTATTAATCTGACATGCATATATCAGTAGGGTTTTTCTTCTGTCTTTCGTAATTCTGCATCAATGGGGATTATGTTGACTCTTAGCTAATTTCCAGTTTCTTATATGGTTCATTCATTGTAATAAAATCGTGTCACTCACAGCAGTCAAAGCCAATGATCATTCACAGAAACCTAATTACCTAATGACACATTTATTTCCACATTTTAAATTCTTAATACTGCAACAAGGCATCTGCTATTTTATATTCTGTTCCAATGGATCTAAAATAAAATTATCATTTGCTAGCCTACCATTTTAAAAGTTACCAATAATAAAATTTGTGTAAATAAAATTATTAGCATGATACAGTGGAATATGTCTAATTTCAGCTGTTTTGAAGGGTGAAATAGAAAACTGTTAAGTCCAGCTGACAGTAAAACCCAATCTCAACTAATAAATTGAATAAATAGTAAAATTATAAATTAAGTCTCTTAAAATGTTCCAAACCATTGATATCAATGTCATTTATGCCTACATGTAGGAATTCTCCTAGAAGAGTGATTGTCAACACATGGATAGTGACCCTTTTGGGGTCAAATATCAGATATTCTGTGTATCATATATATACATTATAATTAATAACAGTAGCACAATTACAGTTATGAAGTAGCAACAAAATACATTAGGAAACTTGAAGACCACTAATATGCAACCAAAAGTTCAAAGGTAAAACAAAATCATCACACTTCTGCAGAGCCTGACATCTTAGGATTTTAATGTGTAGATCCCATCCAGGAATTAGAATAGACACAGTTTGGCTGGACATTGCTGTATTTCAGAATAAATTAAAATATATGACAAATTAATAATGAACATTATTATTTTCATTATTTATATTTTCATAGTTTTAATCACAAATATTTTCTATTTTCATGCTTGAAATATGCTTTTCATGCTTAAAAAATTATTGCCAGAATGCAGTTATTCTTGGTTGTTTTGGGTAAAGAGACAGATAGTAAATGTTCTTCCATGATGGCATGTCAGCCATTAATTCTGTTCCAGAAACTCATCTCTTCCGTTTAGAAGCAGTGTGCTGTATGTAAATGAATGTGGTCCACTTCCAACAAAACTGTATTTATAGACCATGAAATTTAAATTTCACTTGCTTTTCTTGTATTACAAACATGTTATGTTACAAAGTATTCTGATTTTTCTGTTTTTTAGGCAGTACAATGTAAAATTCATACATGGCTCACTGACATTTGTACTAAAATGATTATAATGTAATCACATGTGATACAATGTTACAATGGTGGACTCCTGCAGTGAAGGTTTTATCATGTGCATGTCACCTCATCCAGAAACATCTTTCTCAATATAAAGCACCACACCTTCCCGATTCGTAATGCAATGCCCAGGTGACATCTGTAAGGACAAGATGTGTGTTAAGAATACATTGATTCCACTATTGAGTGGCATTAGTAATGACTAATGATGTAAGCTTGGTGGCATACTGATAGGTAAATTTTAACAAATTTTAGTGACTTCTCAGCAGTTCTTTATGATACAAGCTAAATTATTTCCTGTTGTGATCTCTCTTGTTGAGGATAAAATACTTTGCAAAGATTTGTTTTCATTATTTTTTTTAGTTCTGCACACTTGCGCACGTGCGCGTGTGCACGCACACGTGTGTGTGTGTGTGTGCGTGCACGTGTGCATGTGTATGTGCCCTTGGGGCAGGACTTACAGGTGTTTGTGAGCTCCTGGATATGGGTGCTGGGAACTGAACTCATGTTTCTGCATTTATCATTGGTGAACCTTCTCTCTGACCTCACATACTTTATTTTAATAACGGTTTTACTATTAGATTTAGCTCATTTGCTAAGCTAAAATCCAAAGACTTTCCCCTGCTTTCCCTTAACATTAAAACAAATTTTAATTGCAGAATGTTATGTAATTTGAAGCATCACCTTAAGACTCTGTCACCTTGTTAGTGTCACTTAAGTGTGTCATATGTTTCTTAAAGTGATTTAAGAAGTTATTCGACCTTAGTTCCTATTATATCAATCTATGTGGAGATTTATGCTGAAATCCACATTTTCACCTCAAATTTTCAACATTTGTAAAAATCAATGAAATGTAGAATATATGAGTCAGGTGTGGTACTGTGTGCCTATAATACTAACAACACTCAGGATACTAAGTGGTGAAGGAGGGTTAGCAAATAAATCAATGGTGAGGCTTTGTGGGCTATATGGACACGTGATTCTACTGTTAGTACACAGATGCAGCCAAGAACAGTACCTAAATAATTGAGCCTGACTGTGTTCCCATAAAGTTGTCTTCAAAATGCTTTAGTACAGATTTCACATCAAAAAGTATTCTTGCATAGCTTTAAAAAATCATTCTCAGCACAAACAAAAAATCCATTGGGCATATTTGGCATGATAACTAATACAAATCTATTGAAGTATTGTAGACAAAAAAATTGTAGGCATCTGAGAACTTTCAGATATAAATAATTCCTGATTTGAATGTTAGAAATAGTTCCAGGAGCCTTGACTCAATGTGTGTCATATACAAATGCTTAGAAATGTCAAATGGTGAATTGTTATTTCCTCATGTAATTGAATCATATCAAGGTTCAATTATAATCCTTGCTTGTGACTAAAAAATGAGAACATGGTGCCCTAAACAGTGTGCTACTGACCATTCAGGTACCAAAAAAAATGACAAAGAATGTCATGGTGTATTCAAGCTGAGTGTGCAACCAGAGTGGGTGAAGATTTAATTCATCATGGGGCTTAAGAATTCTTGAAAGAGGCTTGGGGAATCAAAAACACGGCATTGCTATTAGCTGTATTTTATAAATTTGCAATTGATATGTCAAGGGATCTTTGAGAGTTTTTACATGCAGACAGCTAACTCACACACAGTAAATTTGTTTCTGGATGTCATTTATTTGGGAAAGAGTCGCCTACTACTAAACGCTACTCTTTTCATTTTCTATAACTATATCATTTTAAATATATTCTCATAGAATGTTAGTCTTAAATTACTTCATTGAATTCTTACACAAAATTAACTGCTAATTGTACAAATAGGAGGAGTGGGCACTAGCACTCCCTCATAAGATTTTTAGTGGATACACTGATCCAGACAAATATAAATGATGTTTTGTTGTGCTTATTATAACTGGAAGAAACCGGAGGTGATGCCTGCTTCCTGGTAGTGTTATAAACTGGGTAATTCTTAATAGATCTCCTCCTCCTCCTTCTCCTCCTCCTCCTCCTCCTTCTCCTCCTCCTCCTCCTCCTTCTCCTCCTCCTCCTTCTCCTCCTGCTCCTCCTTCTCCTCCTCCTCTTCCTCCTCCTCCTCCTCCTCCTCTTCCTCCTCCTTCTTCATTTTGGCTGTGAGCCTAGAGCTCTTCTTGAGAAAGTATGTCAAAATCAGGGAAAGAGAGAAAGAACACGAAGTTTGGAGGGAAGGAAGGTGGCAGGGACAGGAAGGAATAGTGAGAGGAGAAGAAAAACATGATCAAAATGTGCTGTATGAAAAAGTCACCATGTGTGATGGCTATGGTTGAGAGGGAAGTGTGTGGAGTTACACAGTACCAGTTTAAGCACCAATATCAGAAAATGAAATGCAAACTGCAGTTATTGGCCTATCTCCCAAGGATGTAAGTGTGACAGTGTGACCAATGAGTATCAGCTTTGCGTTTTGGTAATAAAATGAATTTCTTCCCAAAACAATACCACCTATTGCTGTTAAGGCTAAATTCTAAATATAATCTAAGGGGACAAGATAAATTTTGCTTTGAAAAATGAGATGGGAACAGGAATGAAGATAGAGTAGTAAATGATTGCTGACACTAGTCACACATGATTTGGTTTGTAGATAGCAATTACTTTAAAAAGCTAAAGTATTGAAAAGCTAGACACACACATATGCAGCAAGATATATAGTTTTGTAAAATATATATATATATATATATATATTACTATTTGTCTCTTTGCTGAGCACCCAGCTGTAGGTAGACGAGACCTAGTGACTAAACTGATGTTGCAGGTATTCCTTAGCAACGGTTCTGAACGCAGTGAGATATTATCCTGTTCTCAGACAAACGGATTGCAGTTTTTTTACTTTGAACATGGAGGAGAAGAAGAAGAAGCCTCAGAGCTTTTCACACCAGGGCATTTGCACATGGCTGTTGATTTAATTCAAGGCATTTGTTTCAGGAATTTGATTTTTTTTCTGGAAAACATGAAGTTTTCTACTATACAAGGGTTTTATTTCCATTATGCATATTAAAATGATTTTTAATGCTATCCTGAAAATAAATGACAATCCATATAGTATGTGTGTGTGTTTATTAGTTTACAAATTTAACATGTGAATTACAATGTATTTGAGCATTTCTGTATGTACTGAATCTGGGTTTTTATAAGCTTTGGGAAAACAGTAAAAGGGCAAAATTTGCTTTGTTAATGAACATTTTCCTAATAGCACCATGGACATAATGTTAAAAAACAGTTTTGTGCTGGGCGGTAGTGGCGTACGCCTTTAATCCCAGCATTCAGGAGGCAGAGGCAGGTGGATCTCTGTGAGTTCAAGGCCGGGCTGGACCAACAGCCTCCAAAACAATATAGAGAAACCCTGTCTCTTAAACCCCCCCCCAAAACTGTTTTGCACTTTGACTGCTTAGGTTATATCTTATTAAAATGCAGAAACAAAAATTAGACAGATAAAAAGTTAATATAACTCAAATATATTTGAAAGCACAGTGGATCTGACATCCATTTTCACAGATTTTTAATGTAATTTTGGTGCAATGTATATTTCATACTATTTAACCTATTTTATAGTATCAAAATATTCTAATATTTCTTTGTAATATATCATAACATTTTCAAAGATATGAAAAGAATTGATTTACCTGTTTGAGTTTTCTGCAATTGAGAAAAATCAGATTCATTCTTATTTTTGAATAGTCTTTTCTTCAAGGAATAACAGCAAGTTACAGCACCTTCCTAGGAGCTCAACAATTTTCCAATACCCATATAATCTAAAAACAAATTTATCTGCTGGGGAAATATAATAGATTTTGTTCCCTTTTCTTCTACCCAAGAATTAACCAAGTTCAGCAGAGCTTAGTTGCCATGATCAGATAGATATCACACCACTGTGGTCATAGACATGTCCCTTCCTATACTTTTTATACTACCCTCGCCTTCAAAGGAAAAGCACATTAACAATAATGTACATATTTTCCTCCAAATATTACTATCAATTTTGTTGACTTGTTACTTTAGAATCCATTCATTTTAGAACGCTGAACACCTATCAGTATTTCTGCATTCCTTCACGTTCTCTCCAGGGATGACTTTTCTCAGTAAAATAAACCACTTTGTCCCGAATACAGACTTAAAATTAATGAGAGATGTTACCAGTGTTATAAATGGGACCAAAGCTCCCTTTCTCATCTCCTTTCTCCTTCTGACTGCCTGAAGCTGTCAAATTCAGGGAATTGTAATCAAAACTGAGGCTGAGTAATGTTTAAGTCAGCTCTCAAAGTTAGCACCAAGGTAACAAAACCAATGACCGTCAGTATGTCTGGCTTCTAGACCAGTTTTGTCAGACTCAGCTCACCTTCTGCCCCTCTCATCTCACAAGTGAGACATCTCATCGAGGTATAATAAATCTCTTTTACAATATTGTTTATAGATATAGACATGTTTAAACATGAACATAGTCATACTAGAATGTGGAGACTCTAAGAGGCTGTCTCTCGTCTTAAAGTTGCAAAAAGCTTTGAATATGCTTTTCATCATTGGTGTCAGAATTAAAATGGGGGCTGTGCATTATACAAAGTAGCCTTTCACACCCATCTAGATCGTTTCCTGGATTATCTTTATGCAGATGGAAGGAAGTCTCAATTAACTGGCCATGCTTGAAGGCAGTGCAATGTAAAAAGAGTGGATCCTGCGAGTTCACCAGCTGGAGTCAGACACAAGCTCTTACTAGCAATGTGATCAGAGCGAGTTATTTCTTGTTTTGTGTCTCAGTCTGCCATTTGAATAATGAAGATGGTGACAGTGTTTATTAACTGCTGTAGGAGGAAATGAGTTTATCATTTATATTATTCCCTCCCATTCATCTAGAGTGCCTAGGATGTGTTAGGTGCATTTTGAGTATGTACTATTGCATCTATTTTCACCCATGCTGTTTCACATTGCTTTAAAATAGGCTGAGAGAGCATCCCTCTATGTGGAATGGGCTCCCAAAGTCCATTCGTACACCAAGGATAAATACTGATCCAATGTCAGACGCCCCATAGGATGCCCAGTCCTCCTGACTGACGCCCACGTTCAAGATGTCTGGGTCAGTCCTGTGCTGGTTTGTAGTGGGTTTTAAAACTTGCCAACAATGATTTCAATTCATTCTGGTAATAAAATGTGAAAGCATAAAAAATAGTCCATGAGGAAAACATGTACAACATAGTCCAGTAGTCTATCCCAGTATTTTACAGACTTTCATTGTAGTGAGCTATTTTTAGTTACTCTAAAAGGAAATCACATTTTTATTATCACATATTATTATCCGAGTCACTGTGTGGATAAGACAATTTCACACTACCTGTTGGTACACAGGCTATAAATGTCAAGCATAAAGAGCCTTTGGAGTACCAATCAAGCTTTGCTGAACATACAAGATCTAAAACATAGTCAACTTTGAATGCATAACAAATAATTTTGTAAGAGTAAGTAGTTTTTGCAGTGGTAAGTGTAAGTCAGCTATACTGGCTAAATTGTGAATGAATATAGTAGCTACAGATTCTCTATTTAGTATTATGCAAATAACTAGGCTAGACAGATTGTTACTATTGAAAAAGAGGCTAACCCTAAAATAAGTAATTCGTGTGTGTGTTTGTGTGTGTGTGTGTGTGCAGTGTGTTTCACTTCCTACATTCAACCTTTACAGTACTCTGAATGTTCTATCAATTCACATTATTATTCATTTATGAATACTAAACCCAGACCTCAATGAAGGTTTGACTAATGCTGCCACAGAAGGGTGTAATGTCGCTGCCTGCTTCCTATCAATCAATTGCTTCTCTAACAGGGTCACATTGCTGACTTGCTTGGTTGGTTGGTGCTCTATGAGCCCACTAGTCTTTTCTAGCATACTGACTCATGGTTGGCTAGTGTTCAACATTCTTCTCTAGTGTTCTGCTTGCTTGTTAGTTACTTAACTGTACCAGACCACTTACAACCAGGATACATGTGAGGTGTTAAGCAGAAAATAACTTAGTTTATTCCCCGGCTGCTGTGCTTTGTACATGTGGAAAGGTTTGCCGACAAAGGGAAAATATGGTGTGACCAAATGAGTAGAGGCTTTGTCACTGCCACCCTCCAGTGCATGTGATCATGATGACAGTGTGTGCCAGCCTGCTTCAGTGCCAACGGAAGATTTTGCCAAAATTACATATGGCAAGCATTTTGTGAGGATACTTGTAATGTTGTAGATGTCATCTCTCATTCAATGCTTAGCTTAATAACCTCAAAAATGTTATGCTGTTAAACAACAACAAAAAAAACCCCCAACACTTTAAGAAACATTCTTTTGGTGTTCTTGTTTCAATCATTTGTTTGTTTTGTCAGAAAATTTATTGAAGACGTTGTTTTCACCCACATGGGAATAAGCTCATGTTTCATGGATTTGTGTATGCTTCCATTGGACTGGAATGCAATTTTCTCTTTAAGTAGTTTCTTGGGAGGAATAAAAGCAAAGGCTGTCAATATCTTTGTTATGACTTGGATTAGATGTGATGAGGACACTGATGGTTTCTCTTCTGCCCATTGACCATGTGAAAGTGTGCTTAAGAGAGTTTTTTTCCCAAAAATGCAAATACAAGAGCTGCTGTTTTACTTTCAAAGGCTCACTGCCTTTAAAATCCAGACTCTGAGAACCAGCCCAGCCAGAGGATTTTAGAATAAATCCTCTATAAATGCATGCCCATTTAGAAGCTAAATTAACAAAACTTTCCTCATCCACTTCTCAAGTTTTCTCTTGCATGCCCATGAGAGCTAGAAAGTATATATACATATATGTCACTGGCAGTAAGGGTCTTGGCTACGAATCTAGAAGTAAAACTCACATGTATTTATTCTTCCACGTAGTGTCTCTCCTTGCAGTCAAAACAGAGCCCTTGAACAGCAATGAAACCTCTACCACGACTGGAGATGGAGCGCTTGACACTTTTACTGGGTCAGGTAAAGCCTTTAGCTCATGTTGCTGTGTCCACGTTGGGGTCCTTAAACATCCTCCTCCTTGAGAACAGCACAGGATCAAAGCTGTAAGAGCTCACGCCTTTATAAAGTCAGCCAGAAACCCACTTTCTTGAAGAACAAGTTAATTGTCTTCAGATTATGTGTTTTTACAAAAGGTTGTTGGAATCCTTTTGCCAAATCCCATGACTTTCTCATTAGCAGAGCCAACTTTCTTCATTATTTTACATTCTGCATGATCAATTTAATAATTAGGTCCATAATAGCTAACTTTGTTCCTTCAACTTGCCCGTTTAAATTACATTAAAAACTGCCTTCTGCCCAGCCTTCTAGATGTAAAGCTATCCATATGATCCCTTCTAAATAGCCTTGTTTCCTCTCTGGGTTTAAGAAAGTCCTCCTGTGTAGGCAGCTGAGTGACAAGTATTAAAGGTTAATGGGTTTCTGGAGAACACATGCTGGTTACATTAGAATCCAGCCTGGAAGAGAAGTCCTGTGCTTCAAAGAGAACAATAGTATGTCTTTAACTGCCAAGGCTTTTTAAATATAAATACCCGATAACTCCCATCTGGCCACAAAAGGTACAAACTGAATTGACTTAAAGACTTTTTTATATTACTATTTTGTATGGCCTATTATCTAATGAATGCATATATCACAAAGATAAACATGAAACTCAGAAAAGTGTTATAGTAGTTAAATATAGCTCTGTAATTCTGTTTTTTATGTTTATCTGTGTTCCCATGTGCATGGGTTTTATGTGGGTGTGCTTTATGTAGAAAGAGTTGAGGTATGCTTTTGAGTCTAATGCAGTGGTATGGCATATATTTCATTTTTTTATGGAGACAGATGATCAAGTTCACACTAATTGGAGTAGCTGTCACATATGCACATAAATATTAGTACTTCAGAAGAAAATAAATACTATAGTGTACCAACTGGGCATAAAGAGTCACCTGTCCTGATCTGCATTCTTTATAGTAATTCCCCTGCCTCACATGAGGTGAATAGGCACCATGATATTGCATTACTCTGTAGTGCTTGTTACCCATAACTACTATCAATTTTCTACAAAATAAGTGCACTTGAGTGATCTGGGGGGAAAGGTATGGGATTATTAAGTAATTGCTATTGTGCTTCAAGAAAGTTCATTGAAAGATGAGTGGCAAATTACAGATTGTTAGCTCCAAGTATAATTTTAGAACTCTACAATTTATTTTACAAACAAGAATACTAAAGTCCACAGTGGACCTTCTTCACAACAATTGGTGATTCTGAGGTAGCTTCAGACTGTGTTGCGAGATACGCAGCAGCATTTTGTGTCTAGTCTAAATATCAGTAGCACCCCAATTGTGGTACTTCAAAATATCCGCTATCAGGCTAAGTAACCCCACTGCTTCTCTTCCTTCTTAAAGGTTCTAAGTTAAATATATATATATATATATGATATATGTCATACATAGGTAGGTAGGTAGGTAGATAGATTGATAGATAGATAGATAACTGAGTAAAAGCCTTAAAATTTTTACCCATCGTCTTAGAAACTGGTAATAGGCATTACAAGTTCTGAAATCAATTCTCAAGTCATTCCAAAAGTTCTGCTTCTTTCTGTTTGTAGACATGATAAAGTATAATGAGCCAGAGCTTTGAAGACTATGTATGAGTCACTACATAGCAATGAGGCATGACACAAAGGCTTCCAGCTTTTCACAGAACAATCTGCAAATCTTTCTGGAGAGACAGCATCTACAGTAATCAAAATAACCACAGCTCATTCTAACCAATTGTGTTGTTTTTTACAGTTTTCTAGAAATTTATCAATTTGAATAAGTATTATAATTTGTAGTAAAGAAGCTTTATCCCTTTCATAATCACCTTAGTTTTCTGAGCCAAAGGTTTTGTCTTCTATTTTAAACACATTAATATAAAGTTTCAGAGGTCAATCAAATCTTTGTAGTGTTTGGGGTACATTATTCTCATAAGTTCTAGGTTCATTCATTGAAGGGAAAAGTAACCCCCTGAACATATTCTGTATGTTCAGAATGGTGCTCATGTATACGGGTCTTTTCTGAAATACAGACTTCTGCTTTGTCTAATTTAATAAAAGATGTTATAAGTTACTATTTCTTGCTATTTTGTCTTATTTGAAAACCCTTCAGTTTTTCAATCTTGAGGATAGTCTATGAGTATGGAAAACTCGATTTTTGATTGTACTGACATGGAATCCCATCAAAAAACAGAAAAAGCAATTTGGAATTAAGCCTTTCTTAGCCTAATTTCTGTTATAATATTTAATATTGTGGAATTTTGAATAATGTGCATTATTCAGTGGAATATAATGCAAGAGTGTTTTCTCATTAATCTGATTTCATGTTTTAAAATTGCTCTTTAGTTTTGAAGAAATTAAGTTAAAAGTAATGTTTTATTTCCAACAGTATGTAGGAAATTCTCTTAAATTCAGTTCCTAAAATGTTTAGAACTTAACACCTTCAAAGTTGTATTTGATGACATTCAAAACTGATTCATAGCATTGGGGAGCAAATGCTTACTACATTATTGTCATGAAAATTAAAATTTGATTTCTATTTTCGACACTTACCAACTAAACAGCATTTAAAGACATTGCATTCATGTTTGTGAAGCTCACATGGGCACGTGATAGCAGTTGGATGTAGGAATATATCATATTGCATGACCAGTCAGCAACATAAGCCTATTTGTCACTTTTTGCCATTCTTAAAGTTTAGCTCCAACATTCATATGAACAACTCAAAAAGGGTGTAGTGCTTTGAAGTTTAACTATGATTGATTAGACGAAACTCTTGCCAGCACTGGGCTGTGTACTACTTTAATCTTTTTGAAATGTGAATGAACAGCAGATGGCCTAATAAAGACACTCTGTGTGCTCGCCCAGTACAGACTGGCTCTGAGGGAACTGGCTCAACATATTAGGACCCATATATGTGCAGTGCATCTGTCATAGTGAAGGCAGATGGCTGAAGGGGAGAAAGACTTCCAAACTTTTGGATACATTCCACTCTGGTATGCACATTTGAAGGAAATATTAAAATAACCTGACTTTCCCTCTTAAGGTCTTCTCAGCGAAGGTTCAAAAAGGCTTGAAAGTATAATGGTACAACACTTTACACTGCTTAAAATACAGTGGGTTATCTCTATGCACATTCTTGTTACTAGAACATTCTTGACCTTGCATTCTTAAGTACCCATCTGATTGATAGGATAGAAGGAAATTGGAAACAGTAGCATTTTACAATTCGGGGATGACAGTTTGAACCTCAAACTTTTTAACGTCTATTTTAATTAGAATAAATATGGGGCCAGTATATCAAGTTCATATGTATTTGGAGCTAACATGTAAAGTTAGCACATTTAAATCATTGACTTTACTACCGTGAAAGTTTACTATGTAACCAAAGGATCTGCCAGCAAACTATCTGTATAGAACAAATACGACCTGAAAAGATGGAAGACTAACAGTGTTTGTGGGAGGGATGGGCACTTCATGCTCTTGTAACAAAACTTGAAACACTTTAAAAAGAAGGTGGTGTCTAACCAACTGCTTCTTCTGTGCAATGAGTTTGAGAAAGTAAAAGGATGGCTACTTAGTCTGCAGTTTCCTTCAGTAGGTGGTGCGCTCTCTACTGCAGATGCGCTCATGAAGCCATGTTTTGTGCGCTCTTGTTTTGTGTCTTACAGTAATAACGAGTAGCGGCTACAGCCCCAGATCAGCGCATCAGTATTCCCCACAGCTGTATCCTTCGAAGTAAGTGCCCAGCACATTCGGTTTTGCTAGAGATATTTCAGAAATTACATGTGTTAATTCATATTTATGTAATATGGCAACTTTAAATTGGAAGCATTTATGCATATAACTATTGAAGTTAGACATGAAAGAATTTATATTGCATGAGTTAGAAATACAAATATCTCATTTATCTGGATGTTTCCTTTCATCTCTGTTTTCATGCTCTGAGAAAAACAAGAAACATGTAGACAAAGTCTCAAAATTCTTCAAACCAAGACACTCAAATATTGTTACTGTTTTAAAATCTGAAGCATTTTGTGCACAAGTTTGAATTTTGTTGAGAAATTTGGGATTTTCTACTATATGAGGTTTTGCTTCAAGTGGTTAGTGTGTACTAATCTTTGTATGCTATCTTGAAAATAAGTAACTATCCTTGTTTGATGCTAATTGAGAGAATAATAGATATAATTTGAGATATATTTGAACTCTTAAATAAATATTCACTAAGTTTGGGTTTTAAAATAAATTTATACCCATTTTAAGGAAAATTTAAAACATTAGTAATTATCCATATAAGAAAATGCATAGAAATCATATTTTACCCAAACATTAATAGCTCACAATTCAGTCAATCACATTTGAGAGTATCATGTTGTTTTTATAACTGGTATAGTTGTCTGTTTTGAGGACAGGACAAATGGTTCAAGATTTCAAATTGAGCTTCATTGGATTAATGGGTTCCTATCTGAATTCATTTGTTTATCAGTTATGCCAAAATATACCGTTATGGTACGCCACATTCAGGATGCCTTAAGTATAAGCCAAGGACCGGAGTTGACAGGGGAAATGGCATTCCATTTCTTTACAGGAAGACAAGTCCTTTTCTCAAATTTCCAACTTTGAGCAGTGAATTCTTGGGAGGGTTGTTAAATGGACTTCTATAATTAATATGCAGCACTGGGTCTCTTGTGGCAAGTGTGACTATGCTCTGGGTACATTCATCAGCTGGCTTATGGACATTCTTCCCCGAAGGTGTACTAAATGGAGTGCTGGTGCCGTTGTGGGTGAGAAATGCACATCTAGAGGACACTAAATATGCCATCTAAACCCAACTGCTTGTTTTAGAGATGTGATCTAATCTTCAAGTCATAAATTCTCTTTCTCTGGTCATCAAGGTTGGCTTGCATCAAAGCCTGGGCTCCTTTTTAAATTTTTATTCACTTTCCTTCAACTTTACTCATTTCTGACAAGTTGGGGATAAGGAGGGGGATTTACTTCTTGGGTGTTATGAGATTTCACTTAATCGAAGCTGTCTGACTTGATGTGCAGTCTTTGTTGCCACAGTAATGCTATTTTTCTGATATTTAGGCCCTATCCACACATTCTTTCTACACCAGCAGCTCAAACAATGTCGGCCTATGCAGGCCAGACTCAGTATTCGGGAATGCAGCAGCCAGCTGTCTACACAGCCTACTCACAGACAGGACAGCCCTACAGCCTGCCTGCTTACGGTAGGTAACATCTGCTGTCTTCTCCTTTGGTAGTAACCGGGTAATCCCTGTTGACGGGTAGGTAGCTTTACATACTAGTAGAAGTCCCAGCTCAGAAGGAGATTCTTGTACTAAACAAGTGGTTTGCCTGTGTGTTTTCTGAACAGATCTTGGTGTGATGTTGCCAGCCATCAAGACAGAAAGTGGGCTTTCCCAAACTCAGTCTCCATTACAGAGTGGCTGCCTCAGTTACAGCCCTGGGTTTTCTACCCCACAGCCAGGCCAGACGCCTTATTCTTACCAAATGCCAGGTAAGTTGCCAGGCATGAAACCTGTTCCTGGGGAGAAAAAAAAAGCAAAAACAAAATCAGATTCCTTAAATGTGGCTCTGCGACTTCAGTCTTAGGAACAGTGAGTAGCAGAGAGAGTTCCAGCCTCACCACAGCTCACACAATTTCCTAAGGAAAGACAGCTGGGCAAAACCATGATGAAAATGGCTGGATCCAGGTGCAGGCACAGGACTCAAACACAAACACTTCAGGTTAAGCTTGGGCAGGAAATGAAAGCCAAGCAAAGCCACTTGAGAGCTACTGGGCCGGGCAGCCAGAAGCCTGATGTCTTTCTAAGCAAATGTTATGGAGTGATTCAGAATGCAGGTCTGGGGAGACAGTTCTTAGGTTTCCCTCAGAAACTTTGCCCTCTGTCAGGAGGGGGCTGGAATTGAGTGCATCTTCTTTCAGATCTCTCAATTTCAAATTTCAGTAGCATCACAACAAAGCTCGAGGAATGTCTCTCTCACTAACCTCTATAAAGGGACATATTTTTAATTTCACAAAAATATTATTAAATGGAATATGTTGTAATTTACACTTAGAAATTGTACCTATTTTTTGAGTAAGAGGGTTATTTGACCATATATTTTAATATAGTATATAATGTAGGGTAAGTGTGTGTGTGTGTTCTCAAACTTTCATAATTGATTTGTGTTGAGGACATTCAAAATCCATTCTTGCGACCGATGTTACTCTCAGCCACTGTGCAATTGAACTTACTTCTTGACTTAGCTGGCAGCCACTGACTGACAAGTCTATCTTACACCCTCTTCACCCAGACTGTGCTAACCATTATTGGCCTCTCAGCTTCTCTGAGATCAGTTTACTTGACTCTCCATGGTGAAGATTTGGGAGTTACGCATCTTTCTGTGCTTGGCTTACTTCACTTAGCTCGGTATCCTCTGGTCCATCCACACTGCCACAAGTGACTGAACTTCAGTTCCTTTTACAGCAGAATGAATATGGAAACTGTGAAATACATTTTATCTTTCCTTCTAGGCTCCAGTTTTGCACCATCGTCTACTATTTATGCAAATAATTCCGTTTCTAATTCAACAAATTTCAGTGGCTCACAACAGGTACTGTAGTTTTTGTGGTTATACTTTTTGAAATTTCTGTTGGACATTAGAATGTTTTCTTCATTTGTACTTTATGGTTGTTTATAATTCCATCTCTACCTTTCTAGAGTTCTTGGGTCTCTTTTCATTAAGTGCCTAGTCAAAAATATGATGTATATCAAGTGCTCAATAAATATCTGATGTTTCAATAAACAAGTAAATTTTTGCTAACAGAAGTCATCAGGTTTTTTTCTTTTTCCAGAATTTTTAGTGCTATCAGGTACTTTTAAATTAATGACAAATTATACTGGCTATATCCATCAGATAGTTCAGTGCATAGCATTGTAACAAAATTTCCTTTGAGCCTTTTGTTATACCACTAAAACTATGATAGAGTTCTTTTTATGAACTCTAAAGAGAAAGCATTTGTGAAATTACTTATTTTAAAATGTGTAAAGCAAAGAAATTATTTTACAGTAAGAGCATATTGTCTGTCTAGGAATGAGCTTCCTCTCAGTCCCAGTCATTCTGAGCCAGGTAGAGAAGCAGGAAACAAGGGCACAATCCCAAAGTGTCATCATAATTTCTACTCCTCTGTGTTCAAGGATGCTGGAGCTGGCTTCTCAGGCTGTAACTCCAGCCTAGAAACTCATGAGCTATGTGACCAGGATGAATGTCACTTCAAGTTCTGTGCCTTAGTAGTTTTTGATACAAAACAGCAGGAATGACATACCACAGACAAGATTCTGACTGGTAAGGGGGCAAACCCTAAGAACAACGCCCTGACCCAAAGCCAGCATTAGCTGTTTATCGTCACTGTTTCACTCTGAGAAAGAAGTGTTGCTAAAAACTGTGTTCAAATATTGACACTTTCTGCTTGACTCACAGAATGGGATAGGGAGCATCAGTTCCTGAGATCAAGAGGCTAACAGAATTTCAGTTTTCTGCCATATTACTTAATGCTTCCTGGTAATACACATGTTTATTATACAGAGAATTTTTCTTTTTTTGGAAATGACATCAAACATGGATCTTTGTTCCTCTCAGAACTTATCATAACAGGGGATCTTCATCCTGACCAAGGATTTGTCATCACTGATAACATTTTTGGCTAAATCATACTAGATATATTAAACACCATTTATCACAGATCCTTGCTCATCATCTTAATATGTAAAAGGCTATTGGAGGATCATTTTTTCATCACTTTAAAGTTCTTTCTTTAATGGAAAACAGGTCGGGGGTTGTTTTAATGCTTTTATTTTTATGTGCAGCAAAGGAGAAAACTGATTGTTTTGAAAAAACCTCACTAAATACTTTAAGTTAAGCTTCAGGTAGCAGGTTGCTTGTGGTAGCTAGGAAATGTGTTTATTTCCTTTAGAATGCCTGCCAAGATCAAATAAAAAAGCAACGCCTAAAAGAGGAATAAAACTTAAAAGAAAACATTGAGATCTGTGTAGAAGCCAGGACTATATGTAACTCCTGCTTGCCGATGATGTTAGACAATGTGTAAAAATGGACCGGATGAATAGGAACTGACTACATTGTCTCTCCCCTTTCAGTGCATTTATTAATGGCATAAACTTCATATTAATGGTTATAGAGGGTGAAATGAAGCACAAGCAATCCAGTCAGAGGCACATTCATTCATGTATTAGACCTGTTTGTAAACCTAAATTCATTACTGCTGCATTTGTGAGAGATGCCCAGAAGATGGGCTCCACTCATTGGCATCAACTCCAAGTAAACGGAACTGAACACTAATCATTTAGTTGCCATAATAATGGTGTTTGCTTGCTGTCTCGAACTATACTAGATGGTAATTGCTCTTCTATATGCACATACCTTATTTATTTGTTTCAGGATTACCCATCCTACACAGCCTTTGGCCAAAACCAATATGCTCAGTATTACTCAGCGTCCACCTACGGGGCATATATGACATCAAACAACACAGCTGATGGCACATCATCGTCAACCTCAACTTACCAGCTGCAGGAATCTCTCCCAGGACTGACTAGCCAGCCAGGTACAGATCTTCACCCAGGTGAAATGCCTCGAAAAGTCCTGTACTATCTAATAACATGGTAGAAAGTGAGCATTGCAGAGACATGCCTGGAAACAGCCAGACAGTCACGCCGATGATGAACGAGTTTTAGCTCAAACCACTTAAGACGAGGCTCCTACGCATTTCAGAAATTCCCTTCTGAGATGTGAGACAGACAGGAGATTTTAACCTCAAAATGATTGCATGTGTAAGAATATCAATATGGGGATGTGGATCTTTTGCCAGACCCATTCTTTATTCCATGCAAAGTTGACAATGAAGGGCAGCTGTGGCTGCAATGTTATCTCTCTGGAGTGTAGCTGGGGTGTCACCTTTTTGCAGGAGGGACTCTATAACTCCTTTACTTTATGAGTCATCAGTAACTCTAGTCAGTCGACATTCCTACATTCCTAGGACTTGGGGGATCAGTAGTAGGAAGTTTAATGTCTTTGCCTGATCAGTGATTTTTCTTTTTCATTATCTGAAGCCTGCTGTCCTCTTGTTAGAATTATATTTGTTACCCAGATTTTAAAGCTTTAAAGCCAGCTAAACCAGCATTCAACATCTTCCCCATCAAAACTTGAATCAAGTATCCTGGAGGAATTACCAAGATGATTTTAAAATTACAAGAAAAAGTAAAGGAGTTGGAAAATACAGTATTTTTTGTTTTTGAAAATAAGAACTAAGTTGGAGGAAATGCCATGGCCTGATCGTAAGACTTGCTAAGTGCAATTATCACTGCTCTACAGTGATAACCAAAGCACACATGCACAGTGTTGAGAATGGAGAATCCAGGAACAGACACACACACACACACACACACACACACACACACACACACACACACTGAGAAACGATTGGTGAAAGTTGTGTGGAGAGTTTCTAGTGTTTTCCAGAAAAAGACAATTGAAAAACTGACCATCTATGTACAAACGAAGAATCACAATTTGTATTTTTATACAAAAATCAAAGTAAATCTTAACCCTTTGGATAAAATCTCCTGGAAAAATTATATGTAGGAATCCTTGTGAGCCTGGGAAAACAAATATTTTCTTAGGTATTGTAAACAATTCTTAAAAAAATAACTAAATTTCATAATACTATAACTAAACAATCCTTAAAATTATAAAGTAAGGATTATAAAAACACCTTAAAAGCAAATGAATAATATATTGGATTTAATAAAACTAATACACTTTGAAAGTGTCCTTGAAAGATAATGTTAAAATTACCAAAAGGCAAGCTACAGTTGCAGACAATTTTTTGTAAAACACGTGTCTGATACAGAACTTATAGTATATATAAACGGTTTTCAAAAATCAAAACATGAGATTGATTTTTTTAAAAAAATTTTGTTTTGTTTTGGTTTGGATTTTTTAATTACTTTAATTTTAAATAGCTTGCTTCACATGTCAATCCCAGTTCCCTCTCCCTCCCCTCCTCCCGCATCCTCCCACTATCCCCCCCAGCCTCCCACCCTATCCCCACTTCCTTCCACATAGGGGATATCCAGAGTCTCTCATTTCACTCAGGGTAGGGTCCAGGCACTCCCCTAAGAGTCCAGGCTGAGAGAACATCCCTCTTTGTGTTATGGACACATGAAGTCAGTTTGTATGCCAGGGATAAACACTGATCTACTGCCAAGGGCCCCATAGGTTGCCCTGGCCTCCTCACTGACTCTCACATTCAGGGGGTCTGGATCATTCCAATGCTGGCCTCCTAACTGTCGGTCTGGGGTTCAAGAGCTCTCCCCTGTTCAGATTAGCTGTCTCTGCTGGTTTTGCCAGCCCATTCTTTGCCAATTTGCTCATCGCTCCTCTCTCTCTGTCACTGGGTTCCATGGGTTCAGGTCAGTGTTCAACTGTGGGTGTTTGCCTCTGCTTCCATCAGTCACTGGATGAAGGTTCTAGAATGGCATATAGGGTAGACGCCAAATTCATTATCAGGAATGGGCATTTAAGGTGGTCTCTCCACTATTGCTTAGCTTGCCAGTTGGTGTCATCCCTTTAGATTACTAGAGGTCTTATTGGTGCCAGATCTAAAATTTCTATTTTATGTTTGTGGCTGTTATCCCAGTTATTATGTGTGTGCCACACGCATGCAATACCGGCAGAGGCCAGAAGAGGGCATTTGGCACCCTGGGACTCGAGCTAAGGACCTTTGTGTGCAGCCATGTGGGTGCTGGGAATTGAACTCAGATACTCTGGAAGAGCAGCCAATGCACTTAACTAGAGAGTCATCTCTCCAGCACCAGAATCTATTCTACTTTGTAAATACTAATGAGTTCAAAGTATATTTTTCTGACTTCAGGGTTTTTTTTATCAACTTATTTTCTGTTTTCTGTTTTATCCAGTTTGGGAATGAAAACCCAGAGAAATGTGACCAAATACTGTAGGTTATTTCTAGCTAGAACAGTAAGACAAAGACAATACAATATCGTCAATCAAGTAGTTATTTATTTAGTCTCTGTTTGGCCCCAATCATGTGCTAGAAAATGATATTTCATCAGTGACTAACATCTCTGTATAAAAATTGCTTGATTGAATAAGGAGGCATGTAAGTAATTGGCAATGAGTATGAGAAGGTAAAATCTCAGATACTTAGCAAACATTAAGATGTAACAATTTTGGATATAATGAAGCAACAATGAAGCCCTCCCCCCACCAAGTAACAGTCAAGATACTCTTATATCATGAATTGTGAAATGGTCACATTTAATTTTACTTCTGTGTTTGTGATATTGTGATATTGTAGTAGTCTATCATCCATCATTGTTTTTGTCATTTCAGTTAAACATATTCAACTAAAATCCAAAAATATTAAATAGAAAAACAACAAAAATTAGAAAGTTTTTAGCAACTTCTAGTACATACTATTAAATATTTCCCTTTTATTTTTATTAATATGTCTCATTGTGCTTAATTCATAAATTAAACTTCATCATAGGTATATATGTGTAGAAAACATAATATTACCAAGAATATCCCTTTTGTTAATGTTAAGAAAATACTGAGTGCAGGCAAGTGCTCATGCTGCATGGTAGGCTGTGAGGACATATTCCAACGCAATATTGTTATATGCACTATCAGAATGCATTTCTTCCTCTTCTATTGGCTGCTGTTGCCAACAAATACTATTTGTCACCATTTTCAAATCCCATTATGTTTGACACGTTTGATGCCTTCCAGGGTTTGTGTAGCATCATGGAAATGTATTTTCTGTGGCGTGGCTGAAGGGAGCTACTGTGACATCTCTTTTTAACTTTTTAACAATTAGAATTATTTCTATGTGTGTTTATATGTGCACATGTATGCTGAACTGGGAAGACAATTTTATAGGAATCAGTTCTCTCTCTCCCACCACACAGATTCAGAAAATCCCCCTGAGCTGTCTCACTGGTCCCAATATATCACTCCTAGCTTTAGACCCAGCAAAAGTATTGTAGACAGTTCAGTCTGTCTTTGGTGACCCTAAATTACAGTTTACATCTTTTTTCTTCCTCTTGCATTTCCCCCTTTATGAATACACAGCTCATCTTTATTTCCTGGCCTGTTTCTCTTAGATCTTCTGTTCAGTCTTTTCTCCATCCTCTGCCTCTCTGAGCACTGTACCAAAGGCAGAGCTAGTCCCAAGCAGAGGCCAGGGAAGCAGTCGGGGCCCCAGATCTAAGTAAATACTCAACCTCCAGATCTTTCAACTTTCTGCTCTAAGGCTCGTTAATCCCAGCCTTAGTCATGTGTTCCAAATCTGCCTTTATCTTCTTTCATTTTAGCAACAATCTGTCCTTAATTGAAAGACCTGTCAGAATCCACAGTTAGTAAGTAGTGGGAATGCTGTAGACAAAATGATGCTTGTGTCATCCTTCTACAGCATCGAAGAGATTTCCCCACTGAGAATGCATGGGGACAAAAATCTCAGAAGTGGTTCTCATCCGGGTTCAGAGACAGAAACAGACAGGATGAGGTGGGTGAGTCTGAACTGACCAGACTACAGGCATCACGAATGATACCTTGCACGCTCAGTATGCTAGATGAGGTGTACAGCTCTAGTTCAAGATTGATTTTATTCAAATTTCTATCTAGTCACAACAAAGTTTCTCCCCCATTCCCAATACCAAGAATATCTCTTTTGTTAATGTTAAGAAAATACAGAGTGCAGGCAACTGCTCATGCTGCATGGTAGGCTGTGAGGACATATTCCAAGGCGATATTGTTATATGCACTATCAGAATGCATTTCTTCCTCTTCTATTGGCTGCTGTGGCCAACAAATACTATTTGGCACCATTTTCAAATCTCATTAGACTTTGTGCTGAATTTACAGAGAACTTATTTCCTCTAGTTACTATTATTCTCATATATAATTGTTGAGGAGTTTCTATGATCATCTTGGATCACTTTTCAAAGTGGTCTTTGGTCTGATTGTAGCCTTTTCAGATCTGGCATGCATCTGAAAAGCAAATAAATTCCTAACTATCAGCTTCTTCTTTATTAATGGTGAAACCTGATGAATTCAGTTACAAGGCAGGAAAAGAATTCCCCATTAAGTGAGTGTGCATTTTGGGGCTTACAGACCAGACCTGACAATTAGGTCCACAAGTTTTTATACAACATTCACTGTGGACTTCCATGTCTAAAATAGAAACATACCTTCTCCTTATGTTCAATAAGTGACAGCTGCTTGCTCTGATTTACAGATAAACCTAATGAAATAAAGTTGGAGCTAAATATCCAAAACTTACAAAGGGCAGTTCTTCATTACTATACTGATTAAAGGATAATTATTCAATCGCCTTGAAAAGCCCAAGGCAGCTGGTAATGACTGATATTATTTAGAAATTGCAAATAGCATTCAGTTATTTATTTTACCTTATTAGGTAGTTTGACAATGGATTTAAAGACACACTACCACGCTGATTAAAAGCAGACATTCCTAGTTCGTTATCCTTATGAAGATCTTTCTCTGCCTTTTACATGAATTTTATCGAAGGTAAATTTATGG